GGACAGGCCGAAAGGGGACCTCCGGACAGGGAGAGCTTTACGGACCCCAGAGAAAAGAGTCTTTCCGGTATCACCCACTCCTGTGTGACTCTGAAGGACTCACCTCTCCTCTTTGGGCCTCAATTTCCTCACATGTAAAGAAGGGAGGATAATATCCACTTGAAGGGGCTGTTCTGAGGATGATTAAAGACTAAAGAAGAATTTGCCATTTTTGAGTAGAGGGCCAGGGCAGGGGTGGGGAGTTGGGGGGAGGCTTGAGAGACAAAGGCTGCAGGGGGTAGGCTTGGGTGTCAGAAGCTGGCTGACCCTGGGCAAGTTGCTTGTCCTCACTGGACCTCAGAGGCCTCAATCTGTCATGGAGCAATCCGGCCTGGGGTCCCAAAGGGTTAATAGGCTTTGTCATGATGCTGGGAAAGATTGAAGGCAGGAGGAGAAGGGGACAACAGAAGATGAGATGGTTGGATAGCATCACCGACTCTATGGACATGAGTTTGAACAAGCTCCTGCAGTTGGTGATGGACAGGGAAGCCTAGCGTGCTGCAATCCATGGGGTGGCAAAGAGTCTGACACGACTGAGTGACTGAACTGAACTGAACGCAGAAGCAAGCCTCCTTTTTTGTGCCTGTCATCAGCCAGCCCTGCTCTAGGCCTTCACGAGTGTTGTCTCATTTAACCTTTATAGGAGCTCTACAACACAGCACTTGTTACCGGTGGGGAAACTGAGGCATGTGGCCTGGCCCTGGGTGGCCTGGAACCTCTCTCTGCAAGGGTGAGACTTGCTCTGAAGTCTGATGAGGATGATAGTAAAAACCTTCATTCATCTGTATGTTTTGCCAAAGCTTCCTGCCCATTCTCCATTCTCCCATTTGACCCTGATAACAGCTTGCTGAGGTGGACACTCTGACTACCGCGAGTTCACAGGTAAGAAACCTGGAGAGAGGAAGTGCCTTGCCTGAGATTGCTCAGGGTGTTAGCAAGTGTCTGAGCCACGATTTGAACCTTCTCCTATTTTCTGGGGAAAGGTCACCCCAGGCCAGCAGAGCACCCACTAGCAGACTCACTCTGAGAGCCCAACCAGGCCTCCCTGGTTCAACAGGAGCCCTGAGAGCTTGTGCAGAGAGCTAGGAGGACTGGAGGGGAAGGGAACTTGGGCCAGGCAGCTGGGACAGCTGGGGAAGGGAGGGAAAAGTCTACCTCAAAATAGCAGAGTCACAGAGTACAGAAATTTTCACCTAGAGAGTTTCTTAGTCAGACACGCCCATTCTACAGATGGGGCAAACTGAGGAAGCCCAGCTGCTTAGATTAAAAATCACCTCAGGACACAGCTGGCCTGTCTCGGGGCTCTAGAGCCCCAGATATCCTGAGGGGTGAGGACCAGAGGTGGGGAAAGGGACACTGGGGGTTCATCCTAGCAAGCTGTGCCCTGGGAACAGAGGACTGCAGGGGTCTCTGCCACCCTCCGCTCCCACCCTCACCCACCCCCCAGCACTCACTAGTCACCAGGGTGGAATATTTTAGCACCTATAGAAAAACCGCCACAGACGGCCGTGGCAGCTGTTGCTAAGGAGACGCTCCCAAAATAGCCCCCCTCCGCCAACCTTTCCCGCTGCTGCTCCTGCTGTGGGGAGGGGAGGAGGCCAGGCAGAGAGGGGGTGGCACACGAGTCCTGGTCCTAGGTTCACCCACCTACTCTTTGCCCCCGGTGCCCACAGTGGTTAAAGACCTGGGCAAGCTCAAGACCTGGGCAGCCACAGGTCTAAAGCGAGGGCAAGAGCAAGCAGAAGCATGCCTGTGGTCTCAGCCACAGTCCTTAGCTAGGAGAAGGTTACCCAGAGGAAGGGAGATGGGACAGAAAGAGTCCCTGCACCCAGGACCCCCAGCACACTTGCACAATCACAGACCTCACAGCTTCACACACCCACTTGTGTACACCACAAGTACAAATCTCACAAATGTCCACCTAAATATGCATATACAGCATCAAAGACACAAATAGATGCATGGGTAAACACATATGCCACAAATATACAACACACACCTGCAAGCACATACCACACAGCCCTAAATACACACATTTACATACACACACTCAAATACACATCCCAAGTACAGACACACACACACACCCCAACATATGCATGCCGGGCACATGTGTACACATAGACACATATACACCAATATATATATTTATAGCCTCACAGCACATGCATACACAACTGTCCAAACACGCCCGGCATGAGGCATTCAAGGGCACTGAGGAGTGTTAGTCCTGGGTTCTGGTCTGGGACCTCAAATGTTCTGGAACCTCCAGATGTCCTCTTGTAGTGGAGAACCCCTGTGATCCAGCCGCAGGGTGGAAGATTAGGAGGGTGGGTGGAGGGTGATGTCTCTGTAAACACCTTTAAATGGACAGTCTGGGGACCAAAGGATCCCTGGTATCTGGGAGAGATCTCAGAGCCCATTTCTTAGGAAGCAGAAAATGGGGGCAGGGAACTCTCACCTGCACAGAGTTCCGGGCCCCAAGTTCATGTGCAGCTGACTGTCCCCCAGGCTGCGGTTGGAGCTAGGGTGATGATAAGCAGAAGGCAGTGGGTTAGCGATGGTCATGGTCCTTGACACACACAAAGCACTTAACAGCTGATAAGCCACCTTTACACCCCTTATTTCACATACTTGGTAGCAGCTATGCTGAGATGGTGGTGATATTGTCCCCATCTCCGAGACCCAGACAAGAGAGGGAACCACAGAGCAGGTCACTACCAGAGTTGGAACCAGACTCCAAGAAGATGCCGGCACACAGCCCTATGTGCCATCCATTTGGCTGCCAGACACAAGCTGGAAAGCAGGCCACCAGGGTGTCGCGCTTGGCTTTGCCCCTAATTTGCTCTATGATATAGGGGAGTAGTCAAACCCTCCATCTCCCCACCTGGAAAGCCGAGAAGGAATCCCTGGGGATGGGTGGGTTCAAGCAGCAGTTTATGGCCACGGCCAGGGCTGGGGAGTGGAGCTTGCCGGATGCCCTCGGGATGCCAGTGCAAGGACAAAGGGCGCGGAGTCTCTCCCCTCCGCCCTTGGCCAGCCGCCCTCTCCCTCCAGCCTCGCTCCGTGGCTCCCATTCCGTGATCCGGGCTCCGGGGCTTCGGCGGCGCCTAGTCACTCGGGAGACGCGGCAAGAGTGGCTTGCGGTTGCCTTGGGAACCTCGCCCAGGCCCGGGTGCGCGGTGCCCGACTCCGGCTCAGAGCGTTTTGCCTGCGCCGGGCGGAGATTGGCCTTAGGACTCACCGAAAGACACCTGTCGCCAGAGGCGAAGGAAGTGGGCATCGCGGCCAGGGTTGGTTTCTTTTACTTTTATTTCTAATTTAGGTGTAATTAACAAACGGTAATACATGCATCTCAAGTGTGCATCTCAAGTGTACAGCTCAATGCATTTTTTACATTTGTTAAAAACCCATGTAACCATCACTCGGATCTAGATACAGAACATTTCCAGCACCCCAGAAGGAGTCCTCGGGCGAGAGGTTACCAATAATAATCTTTTTTGCACTTCTCGGGGAATAAACCATCGAGGGAGTGATCGCTTCCCGAGGACATGAAATTTCCGTGTTTTCTCCTAGCTTTACTTTGTCTCGTTCGGCTTCGATGTCCTGTAAACGGGACCCGGGGCTGGCGTTTGTTGCGGGGTTTATTCCTTGCAAAGCGCTTTAGAAACCTAGGTTTCTAAACTTTGACCCTGACATTTACCCTCTGAAATCAGTACTTGGTTTACATTCAAATGACCGATGAGAACACTACGACTAGGAGAGATTAAACAAATTGCCCAAATTCAGACAGCTCATAAATAGTGGAGCTTGAAAAATCTTAGTTCCCCCACCAGGGATTGAATCCCGTGCCCCCTGCAGTGAAAGCATGGAATCTTAACCACTTGGCCTCTGAGGAAGTCCCATCCCCTCTCCCTCTTCCCACGCCCTGCCCCAACCGACTCACTGACCTTTTAAAGATTGCTACAAATAAAATATGCTGGGAGAGTCAGTGGTATCATACACATGTCTGCACCTTTGCACCTGTAGTTCTCTCTACTTGGGACTGTACTCTCTTCCCCCTGGCTTTGTCCTAAAGGCAAGCTCCTACTCATCCTTCAGAGCCCACTCTGGCATTCTCTGAAAGCCTTCCTAACTGCAGTTCTCCCTCCTGACTCCCCCCAGCCCAGGGTAATTACTCTCTCCTCTGCACCATATCCTTGCCCCGGCACCTGTCCCCCATGGCGCCCCAAGGGCTCCTTAAGTCTACACCTACAACAGCTTTCACGGCACCTGGCACACAGCTGGTCATCAATAAATGTGCCTGGGACTGAAAGTTGAGGAGAGGTTTTGGAACCTTGGTTTCCTGCCCCATGAAAATGGGGCAAACACTAGTTCCTACAGAACATCACTCAAAATACATTGAGCAGAGTGGGAAGGGGGGAGCTTCTGAAACACCTGCCTCGGAAAAGCTCATTCTTTCCATGGCGGGTGGAGGAGTGTCCACTTGTTGCCAAGAACAGAAAAAGCCTTAGTGGCCCCCAGGAACTCAAGAGTCCCAGGAGCCCAGGTCCATAGCTTCCTCTTCTTTCCAGGGTCCTGCCCAGCCAGAGACGGCTGATTAGGTGGCCGGACGTCCACGTGATCATGATATTCACCTTACATCCACACAGAATTTGAGACAGTTGGCAGAATATTCAATACAGTGGTGCAATGTAACAAAAGGTTAGGACCAGGAAGGAAAAAAAAATCTGTATATACATTTTTGCCTCTATCATTAAACAACTCCCCCATTCTCTCTCCCATAAATCTGACTTTGAAAGCATACAATCTGCTTTCTTAATGAGGAAAAAAGAATCCTTGTCCTTTGAACTGAAGGAAATTTCCCTCTTGGCTTCCCCTCCATTTTATTCCTAGAGCACACAAATTTCAGATGTCAGGAAAAGTGAGGCTTAGAGGGGTGAGGGACTTGTCAGGAACCCCTAGCACCCAGGAGAGATAGGTCTGACAGTGCAGGTGGTTGGAGTGCCGGCATGGACTAGAGACAGGGGGGGTAAAATGAGGAGGGAGTTTCCCCTGTGCTTCATGGGGAGCTTTGAAAAATGCTCCACCTTGAAGATGGGATAGGTATGAAAAAGGTGGGGATGATTACTAAGGCCAGAGTGGTAGAACTTTGGGGAAAAGAGGTCTATGTGACCTGCAGGAGCAAGAGACAAGTTTTTGAGCCTCATCTGTAAAATGGGAGCGATGAGCTCCCTGTCCTGAGACACAGGAAGTACCAATTTCATAGGGAAACTGGGAAGACTAGCTGTAAGGAGGACCAAGCAACCAGTTAGCAATACTTCTTCCTCTTCTTCTTTTTAATATTTTATTTATTTGGTTGTGCTGAGTTTTAGTTGCGGCATGTGGGATCTAGATCCCAGACCAGGAATGGAACCCAGGCTCCCTGCATTGGGAGCGTGGAGCCTTAGCCACTGGACCACCAGGGAATCAATCCCCAGTCAGCAATACTTCTATCTTCATTATCCCCATTAACAGATGGAAAAGTGAAAGCCCAAGGAGGAGACATCAAGGCCACTCTGGCCGGCCCAGGACAAGCCCTTAGCCCTGGGACCGCCCAGCTGAGTTCTTCTCCTTCCACCACAATGATGGTCCCTTCTCAGACTTCCTCTGGCTGGGACCAGTTCCCCTGTGGTCCCCCTGGAGAAAGAGAGAGGATTCAAGCCTGTTCTAGCCCCCGCTGGCAGTTGGGGCTGCTTCTCAGGAGGACAGATGTTTCACCAAATGGCAAATGCACGTGCTTTTCCCTGGCTTGGGGAGGAGGTGGGTGCCTAGAAGGAGATGCCAGCTGGTTGGGCAGAGACAACCGTAGCCACACCTGAGGGATTTAAATAGCCGCCGCCTTCTCTGGGAGGGGAGGCATCTGGGCAGGATTTGGGGGGAGCAGGGAACACAGCAGTCCATTCAGAACCCGTCACAGCCCTGGAATGAGTGCCTGGTTCTTCCTCCCACAGGAACTTGGACCACACAGCTCACTTCGCTGGGTCTCACTAGCCTTCACCTGCAAAGCAAAGCTTTAAAACTTGCTTCAGAAGGTGACTGTTGAGGCCAAACTAAGAGAACCTAATATGCCTGACCCATGCCTGGTACCCAGTACTCAGTAGGTGCTCAATACTTGATGGTTATCCTCACCAGGGCAGGAGTCCCCACAGAGCATCCTAGACAAATGGGCACCCCTATCCCACTCTGCTCACCTACCTCTCATGACAGGGAGCTCATCCCCTCCAGTGACAACCCATAGTGTAATGTAATGATTTAATTGCATGAACACTGGAATCAGACGGTGTGGGAATCCAGGCTCCACTATTTAGTGTCTGTGTGATATTAAACAAATTACTTTACCTCTCTGGGCCTCAGTGTTCCCGGTGTAGCATGGGAATTATAGTACCTCCCTCTTAGTTTTGCTCAGATCGGTGCTTCTCGAACTTTCGTGTGCACACACATCACCCAGGGATGCTGTTTACCAGCAGATTCTGACTCAGTGGGTCTGAGGTGGGGCTGGAGATTCCACAGTCCCAACAGGCAATACAGCTGCTCCTGGTCCTTGGACCACATTTCGAGTCTCGAAGGACGGCCATGCCCTGGGAGGCATGGTGAAGGGGTCACCATTAGAGGGGTCATAGATTTAATCAGGGCAGAGCCTCTCTGGCTGTCTGTGATGGGGGAGGGGGCAGAGAGGAAGTCAGTAATTTAGGGAGAGGTCGAGGTCCTGAGTAGGAAAACGGGTTACAGGGGTCAAAAGCGGGGAGCACATGTGATCCACTAGTACAGATGCAGAGACCAAGGTCCAGAGAGGGTGGCCAGTCTGCTCAGGCCACACAGCACTGACAGGACTCCTTACCTCCACTGGTCCTTCACCCTTCACCCTCCCAACTTGCTGGCCCACTGCCCTCTGGAGTCTCTCCTGGCCTGTGCTCCTGTTTGACATCTTGTCACACCAAGAAGAGGGAGATGCTAGTGAGGATCCTGCATCTCCCTGACAGACCTGACCTCTTCCGTGCCCACCGTCATCCCATTTTACAGATGAAACAACTGAGGCCAAGAGAAGGAAAGTCTCTCAGCACCCTGGCTGGAACCGAGGCCCACCTGACTCTGAACCAGAGAGTCTTTGGTTACTGTTGTCCAACAGGTCAGGTCAGGTGGCTCCTGAAAGGAACAGGTGAGAGGACGGGGAAACTGGCTCCAGCTCTTCTCCCTGCGGGAAGAGGAAGGAGTTCAAACCCCAGGCTGGTGACAACAGCAGTGGGTCACCCGTTTCTGGGGGCTTCCAACCTGCTAAGCCCATGCCAAGCAGTGGCAAGCAGGACCCCACTTCACCCCAGAAAGGGTCTTCTTAGCTCTGTGTATAGATGAAGGAACCATGGCAGAAAGAGGGGCCCAGTAGCTCGCCCACGGTCACCTTCGGTTCCGAGCAGGGGAGGCAGGGGCCCGGACTCCAGGGGGACCCCTCTCAGGGGTATCGGCGGGGTGGGACGTGGCAGGCTCCCCGTGGGCACAGAGTGGCCCCGGGCGGCAGTCGGCGAGCCCAGGCCGGAAGCCCCCGGGCCCGCGGGACGGCCCCGCCCCGGGAGCCGCGGCGCTGGGCTGGACCAGGAGGCGGGATCTCGGGCGGCGGCGCTTCCTGGCTCCCTGGCACGGCCGCCGGCCCGGCCACGTCACCGCCCGGCCAAGAGCGCGCTGGCGGAGCGGCGGCGCCCGGACGGGAGAGCGGAGCTCGGGGGCTCAGGACCCACAGGCCGGGGCCGGGGCCGGGGACGTGGCAGCCGCCTCGCCCGCCAGAAAAGTTTCCCAGGAGTTGGCCGCGCGCGGGCCGGACCATGAACGTGTTTCGGATCCTTGGCGACCTGAGCCATCTCCTGGCCATGATCTTGCTTCTGGGGAAGATTTGGAGGTCCAAGTGCTGCGCGGGTGAGGGCGCGCGTCCTGGGCGGGAGGTGGGGGCGCCCCGGACGGGAGGTGGGGACCGGGGGCGGAGGAGGGGGCGATAGCCCCACGCCCCTGCTGCGGGGCTGGAGGGGGAGAGGCTCCTGAAAGTCTCTGCAGGGTAGGGACTTCGGCTTTGGGGTGCTTGAAACTGTCTTCGCACAGCTTAACTTCCAAAGAAAATGTACAATTGTACCGTATCAGAGGAAACGGACCCGTGGAGATGACGAAGGGAGGATTCCGCCCCTTGGCATGGCCACTGGTGGTTGGAAGGGGTGGGGGGAGGGAGAGAGAGGAGGTGACACCCCCTTTGCTGCCCAGGAGCAGCACCGCTTGGGGCCTCTTGTGCCCTCTACCCTCACTCAGGCCCGAGGTGGGGAATGGGAGGTGGAGGCGAAGGAGGTGTACACACAGGAAGTGGCTCCAGACTCTCAGGGTCTTCTCTTGCCCTCCCCCCACCCCTCTCCCCTGCCCCCTGCCTGACATCCCCCCACCCCACCCCACCCCCACAGCTTGGCCCTCTTTCCTTGTGATGTGGCAGGAGAGGCATCAGCTAGGCCCACGTGGGCACGGAGCTGCCCATGAGCAGAAGCCCAGAGAGGGTGGGAGGGGGTCCCCCTTTTGCCCAGCAGTCTGGCGGCCCGCTAGAGGGTGGGAGATGTCTCAGGGCTGGACCAGTGGTGGCCAAACAGACCCAGTGCATTAAGAGGCTGCCCGAGCGGCCTGCAGCCATCTTTGTCCACTGGTGTCCTGGAGGCGCCTGCCCTGTGCTTGGCGCTGGGGTGAGGGCCCACAGAGAGGAGCACGGACTCCTCGTGGGGACCAGCGAGGCAGGGAGGGGACCCCTGAAGACTTCACGGAGGGGGCAGCTCTGGGCCGCTCTGTCCTGGAAGACAGGCATTGTGTCACACAGGAAGGCCTTGTGGTGTCACAGATGTCAGGGCATGTCCTGGACACGGGGAGCAGCCTGTCTTCAGGGTGGTCCTGGGGGGAGACCAGTCCACAGGCGTAGGAGGCCGGTCGGATGTGAAGGGGCCTTATCTGACGGGCTAGGGAGTTGGGACTGGGAGCCAAGGAAAGTTTGGAGCAGGGGAGGGGGCTCGGAAGGGGACTCTGGAAGCTGTGGGAGAGGCTCAGAGAGCATCACAGAAGCTACCGGCAGGAGGGAAGGGGCTGGGGGTAAGAGGTGGGTCCTGTGAGCGTCATTGCAGAGGGAGCGCGTGATTCCAGACCTGGAGGCCTTTTGGGTTTGGGGTCTCCAGGGAGACAGGCACTCACAGGTTGGTTCTCGGGATCCCACTTAGGGGAAGTGGGCCAGGAACGCTGAGAGAGGCTCCAGTGAGGGGCAGAATCTAGCCTGGACCTGTCCCTGCGGGGAAGGGTCCTGGACAGGGTGAGCAGCTGTGACCAGGAGAGGGCGCTGTTCCCCACCCGCTCTGCCAGGCACCTGGGGTAGAAGCCGGCCACACAGGCATAGATCCTGGCCTGATGGGGCTGAATTTAGAGGTGGGAGACGGTCAGCCAGCAGCGGTGGTAGCAACCAACTAAATTATATGGTTTGTCAGAGATGCTGAGTGGCTCAGTGGTAAAGAATCTGCCTGCAATGCAGGAGATCCCTGGGTCGGGAAGATCCCCTGGAGAAGGAAATGGCAACCCACTCCAGTATTCTTGCCTGGAGAGGAGCCTGGTGGGCTACAGTTCATCGAGTCACAAAGAGTCAGACACAACTGAGCAACTAAACAACAGCAATGGGCAAAGCAAAGGGCGGATGAGCGGGAGGGCCCTTCTGTGTGTGGAGAGGGATCGGCACAGGTCTGGTTGAGGACAGATGGAGGTGAGTGCCTCCCCCAGGAGCAGGCCTGGTGTGACGCCCCAGCGACCCAGCCCCAAAGGCAGGAGACTGGCGCTGGTCAATGGGTCCCCCAAGGGACTCTGGCCAGGTTCAGGCTTCTGTTCTCCTCTCCGTCCTGAGGTCTCCGTGTGTGGCTTGCTTTGGTGGAAATTACTCACTGGTTTTTAAAGAGTGTGGAAAAACAATGTGTTCAAGACTGCCAGGGCTCCCAAAACACTAGGGAAAATGTGAGTGAAGCCCAGGGGCCTGGCAGGCTGGGGATGGAAAGAGGGGAGGCGTGGAAAGAAGCTATGTGGGGGGATAGCCTTGTGACGCCTGCTAGAGCCTCCTACTGGGCCCTCCTGAATGGGGTTGAGGCCCCCTGAGCCGGCCAGACCTAACTGCAGGCTCCGGGAGGTGGTGTAGACAGTCACAGCCCAACCTGGCCTAGTTCCTGCCTCCCGGACTCCGCCT